ACACACACACACACACACACACACACACACACACACACACACACACACACACACACACACTCCTTACAAACATTTTTTCATTAAAAAAATTATTAAAACAGGAAATGAAAATGTTGATTTTTGCTGTTAACACTTGCGAATTATTTTTAATGTGAAGGTTGGGGGACGCAACATAAAGTTTGCTGAGTTAGATAAAGGGGGGGGGGGCGCTGTCGATATTTAAAGCTTGGAAAACATTGCCATAAGAGGACTTTTCTGAGGTGTTTCCGTATTATTTATCTGTAGAATAATCTGTAAATACACCTTGGGATTTTCTCAAAAACTAATAATCACAGTATGTAGTGTTTGGGCGTGCATAGATAATTCGTTCATGTTGTATTCAATAGTTTCAAGGTAACATCTGACCCAACCACTTTCTCCACAGTTTATCAGTATGGGTAAGGGACAGCCAATAAAGAGTCAGTATGTTTGAAAGTTGTTAAATCTCGTACAAACATGTTGTTGCACAGATTAACTAACTTTGAAATGTTTCTTCTTTCAGAAAGGAGGAAGTTACGGAGCTGCGGGATTTGTAGTTATAGCGATTTCCTGAGTGGTCCCAGATTTTGGGGTAGGAGCTTATAAAATGTAAGACATTCTAATATAAATTTATGTGTGAACATACCGTTTTGTGTTTGTTTTAACAATCGTATAATATATTTATCATCCAAAATGTACTATTTTAGACAACTTTTTAGTTATGAATTAGAATACTATTGCGTTACATCGTAGAAAAACGTATTCAGTTTATGTAAAAATGCTTTTTCAAGCAATGTATTTAATAATTCATAGAGGAAGAACCCTCAGTTTGGTATCATGTTTCTTGCTCATGCCCGCGACCATGCCCCTTGGAATCATAAAGAACACTGCTGATGCATGACAAGGTTCTATGCTTGTATAATATCTAATGTTTCTGCTTTCATTCGATGTCCTTTAACAGCATTATTTGCAAGTTTCTCGTAGGAAATTTCTACGCGATCGAGTTGCCAAGCATGTTTACTGACAGAATGGAATAAATTTAATTTATCTGCGTAATTGTAGACAGTGTAATGATGTATAATATGGTATGCAAGGTCTCCAGCATCAAGTTTAGTTTTTAATTTAATACAACAAGTGCAGAGAAGGTCACTTAGTGCTTGAATGTCTCCGTTTCGCCGCTTATCTTTGTCTCGTTCCAATCATGTCATATGATGTTTCGCTAACTTACTCCAGATGAACTATCCTGTTATAAGTTCCTATAGTTTCATACCATATTAATGAGTTTGGTTGTTTTCTCAGCACTGTTTAAGACCACCTCCACTCGAAACATTCTTTCGTACATGATGAGTCATATCCATTTTCATGCTAGTGTGGATAACAAACAAATAGAGGCTCACTCTAGTCAACAGTTGCTCTGTGTGAATAATTCTAATATTCTAGAACAGATAAGACAATAACAACAAACATGCACCCACCAGGAAATCCTGGATGCTCAAAAGAAGAGATTGATATCTAGAAACCTTGCGAAAAACCTTTCCGCAGATCACTTGCTGGTATTAACTGTCGTTTGTCTTTTGAACGTCGATTCAATACGTTGTCGACTTTGCAGCAACCACATGTTAAAGCTAATTGGTGTTCTTTGTATCTGAATTATTACCTTGAAGCTTGAATGGATACTTGCGTTATTATTATATTTCTTATTATTTTCATTCTTATACCTGAACGCTCCTTAAGAAGCTTTAAAGCGGAACGTTTAGTGTCCAAGTAATGAAAAATAACAAATTTAATATGACAAGGTCGTATAATACTAGTATTAAAATGTTGTTTATACACCAATATGCACTGTAGATATTAAATAACATGTCAATTGTCATTGTTATACCTCGATATTTGAATATATATATTATTAGCTTTCGGCTATTCCTCTTGTGATGATACAATCGATTGATTACTACGTAAGAAAACAATCCATTAAAGACGAATCGATTGTGAGAACTTTGATAGCCAATAGTAAAAGCTTTGTACAACTTACACAGATACAAACTAAACTGTCTTAGGAGAAGCAGACGATGTTCATTTTTTCATATATCTTTTCACATTTCATATTTCATTCTAACAGTGTAAGTAACTGTTGGCAATAACCTGATTTAATATGATCAAAGCAATGGTAATCTATTCGAAAATGGAAAAGTAGATTTATAGCCTGTTTTGGTGATTGCTTCATTTCAGAGTTGATGTGATATCTAATGAACAAAAACAATTAAGCAAGAATAGCTAATTTTCGTTTAATGTGATGCTTGAATTCCTCGCCTCCCCTCACCCCCAGTGGCACAGCGGTATGTCTGCGGACTTACAGTGCTAGAAACCGGGTTTCGATACCTGTGGTGGGCAGACCCCAGATAGCCCATTGTGTAGCTTTGTGCTTAATTACAAACAAGCAAACTTGAATTCCTCAACTTTTGTAACCTGTAAAAAAAGTCGTTGTTGTTTTTTTTAGCACAAAGCTTACCCATTGTGCAGCTTTACCCTAAAAACTTCACCAACAAACTTTTCTAACGTTTCTGAGAACCTTAAAATATGTCTATGAAATAATAACTATATTACAACGAACCATGAAATGAACTTTTTGTGCCTTTTAATTCTCTAGGCCCCATCTGTTATCAACGCTATCAGGTTTAAGTTCAAAGTAAATGTTATATGTATAAGTGTGAATAATATGCCTGGGTTATTTAATTGACGATGACAGGATCGATAAGGCTTTGGGCAGAGGAAAGGGAAAGCTCAGCTTACCCCAACACACCGTGAGTGAGGATGGTGTATTCTTAAAACTACAGTCATGTAGAAAGTTAGAAACCAACAAGCATTTTATCTGGTAAAAGAGGGAAGAAACACACAACCAGGCTAATACGTTCTACCCGATATAGAGCAATTCTGTAGAGACTGAAATGTGTTAATTTGTGTTAGTATTAAGACAGGATAATACATAACACGACAGTCGACCTGTGTGTTCTCGAGTGTTGTGTACTCAAGTTTCTTAAACCCATCATTACTGTAATCCTCTCAGTTAAACATAATAGAATAAACTGCTCATTACTACCCACGTGGCTGCCAGTTTACAAATGAAAAGACATATTTGTACGATGTTGCAGGTTCAGTGATCTTTACCATATAAGTACAAGAAAATCAGTAGCAAAATAATTATGAATTAAGCTTTTATAAAGTAAGAAGTTTGTGTTCGTTCTCTTTTGTCATTGGTAATATTTTAATTTATATTTGAAATGTGTTAATGCTAAAAAATCAAAGTGCGTCAAAAAAGTTTGAAAGTAACTTTCGAATTTAGAAGATATGAGGCAAAAGTTAAATCGTTGATGAATCAATGCAGTGGTGAAGAGAGAAAGAACGAAAACATCGTCTAGGTTCCACCCACTGCATTGATCCATCAAAGGAGAGAGAGAAAGAAGTGGAACCTAGACGATGTTTTTTTTTTTTGTTCTTTTCTTCAGACAAGTAATATGAAGTTTTTTTGTTTTTCTTATTCCCTAAATGTTACAATCTGTACCAAATCAGCATTTGTGGAATCTACAGAAGTATCGTGGGAATAGTAATGGGCTTCAAAAGTAAGCAGTAAGCCTTAAAACAGTAAAAATATATAGATATAATGTAAAAACACCGATAACAAACAACATACACACAGTCTACAAATAACGGCTATTGGTGATGATCAAAAGAAAAAACCAACAATATTATAAATAATTAAGTTGTTTATATTAATGGCTGGTATCTGAAGTATTTCAAACAGAACAGCGCTTTAAGGGTTGCGAAAGAACAACCTAAATTCTACTCAAGTTGTCTACTACAGAATATGACCAATTTCTTTTTTTCTTGTTTTCGTCAAAGGCTTTCTCTCGGTGAAGTCTGGCGACGATCCATTATTTTATGCATAAGATTGCTTATCGATATATGTACTGGATGAACTACTGGTCTTACGATTTGGAATAACACTGTTATCATACAAGTTTCATCTGGGCAACGATTAGCTAAAAATATTCATGGAAAGTTGACTCGGGAGTTTGGAATTGAAGTAATAACGCGGTCTGTACTTTCTTAATATGTTGAAGAAACTTATTTAAAGTAAAGCATCAAAGTCACTATATATATACTGAACTTGGAAGACATCTGACTTACGTTACGCCAAGTATCGACGTGCTATTCCACACCCATTTTATTAACTATAGCTGATTCAAAGATTCTGTTGTTTTTCTTTTACTTAAAACATTTTCAATTTTTACATTTTCTTTTATCCGTTTTCAAATATATCACATTTAAAAAATCACTTTTTGGTTTTTCTCTGGAATAATGCAGATCTGTACAATGTACTTGGCCGTTCTTAATTTGTATAATAATAAAATGTAACATTTTTCTTCTCGGAAACTTCAGTAAATGTTTGTTCACATTGTGTTGCTAGAATTTCAAAGTGATTGTTTAAACTATCCACTTTTTGCCATCATTTCAGAATAGCTTAACTGGTATTTTTACAGCATATTTTTTATAATTTATTGGTTTATAATTTAAGTTTATATTATTCCCTTACTTTCAATTTTGTATATTATCTTATTCAAAATCCATTTTTTTAACTTTTATATATTGGAAACATTCTGCACAAACACAAAAAATCTGATTTCATAACAATGCATTTTTTTTTGTTCTCATCAGCGAGAGAATCTGCTAAAGATGACATGAAAAACATATAAATGGAAGTATTATTCTAGAAAGTTATACGTAAAGCCTGCATACTGTGACATGTAGAATATAGCTATGGAAAATCATTAAAACGAAATCTTTGCAAACGATACTATTCGTAAGTTTTGTGTGCAGGAATAGTGGCTTCACATTGTTGAATGTCATTATTAGCTGACTATTTAGATATAATTGTTAAGCCACGGGTTATACGAAATTATAAATACCCCATTTCTTCATCGAAAAGTAACACTCACCGAAACTTGTGATTAAGTAAATGAATAAAAATGTTATTTTCATGGAACTTTTTTTATAACAAATGCTTCTAGTTTTACAATTTTTTTTACGTCACCTGCTTGCTTCCATTTTTTGATTTTAGAAATTACATAGCAAACTTTTTCATGTTTACATTTGAAGAATAACGGAGTTTATCTGGAATAATAACAACTTTACCCTCTTTAAATTGCATGATATTTATTTCAGTTATTTTTCTACATACTTCTGGCAAATTTAGAGCTCTATCATAGGACCTACTCGCGCCCCCACGTTGTTTGGAGAGTTGTTACAGTTCAGCTGGATGAGAAGTGACTCCAATGAGTAAATAACACCGAATGCAACATCAAGAGAGAATGTCTAATAAGTGAAAAGACGTGACTGTTTGTAATCAGTGGACAAATAAATTCTGGATTCTTCTTATTGCTAAAATGTGTTACTTGTTTGATATTAATGTGTGCGTGTGTTGACAAACTTTATATATGTTGCGAACAGTGGTGTCTGTCCGAGCGTTCGCCTGTCTCCCGTTTACGTCGGCTGCTTCCCGCGCTGTGTTTGAAAAGCTGCGCACGCAATCAAAGCTCAACATCCACATTTGA